AGAGCTCGGTCCCTCGGGTGCATACACTGAGAGTTCGGTCCCTCGAGTGCATACATTGAGAGCTCGGTCCCTCGGGTGCATACACTGAGAGTTCGGTCCCTCGGGTGCATACATTGAGAGCTCGGTCCCTCGGGTGCATACACTGAGAGTTCGGTCCCTCGGGTGCATACACTGAGAGTTCGGTCCCTCGGGTGCATACACTGAGAGTTCGGTCCCTCGGGTGCATACACTGAGAGTTCGGTCCCTCGGGTGCATACACTGAGAGTTCGGTCCCTCGGGTGCATACACTGAGAGCTCGGTCCCTCGGGTGCATACACTGAGAGCTCGGTCCCTCGGGTGCATACATTGAGAGCTCGGTCCCTCGGGTGCATACACTGAGAGCTCGGTCCCTCGGGTGCATACACTGAGAGTTCGGTCCCTCGGGTGCATACATTGAGAGCTCGGTCCCTCGGGTGCATACACTGAGAGTTCGGTCCCTCGGGTGCATACATTGAGAGCTCGGTCCCTCGGGTGCATACACTGAGAGTTCGGTCCCTCGGGTGCATACATTGAGAGCTCGGTCCCTCGGGTGCATACACTGAGAGTTCGGTCCCTCGGGTGCATACATTGAGAGCTCGGTCCCTCGGGTGCATACACTGAGAGCTCGGTCCCTTGGGTGCATACACTGAGAGTTCGGTCCCTCGGGTGCATACATTGAGAGCTCGGTCCCTCGGGTGCATACACTGAGAGTTCAGTCCCTCGGGTGCATACACTGAGAGCTCGGTCCCTCGGGTGCATACATTGAGAGCTCGGTCCCTCGGGTGCAAACACTGAGAGCTCGGTCCCTCGGGTGCATACACTGAGAGTTCGGTCAAAGGGTCCGAGCTCGGTCTCTCAGGTACATTATTCAACATAAACCCAGGAGGGTTCAGGTAGTACAATCAGGCTCGTTCTAGACTATAATAATAATAATTCACAAGAAGGTACACTGAGATTACACTGAGATTGTGAGATTACATAAGATTGGTATTTTTACATTCAAGCAAAGCCACTAACATGCATAGTGTTTCGGGCAGGGCCTTAATCTAACATATCAGGTATGATGAAAAGCCATATTGTAGCAAAATTTTCTATTAACATACAACTAAAATATAAATTGACAGGTGATTACAAGTGAAGATATTTGTCTTAAGTACTAATATTGGGGATTGAGTGATGAAGATTAAGCCACCCAAGAGGTGGCAAGGGTATGAATAGCCCGTAAAATACTGGGCAAGTTATAGTGTGAGTTTGAAGCACAGTGTAGGAAACTATGGGGATGCAATTAGGTACTATTTGGTTTTACTTTTGAATCACAATCGAAAATTCTGAGTTCGAATACCTGGCGCGAAAGAAATGCATTGGCGCATTTCTCCTGTTCACCTAGCAGTATGTAGGTACCCAGGAGTTAGTCAACTTGTTGATACCTGGTTGATGGGGTTCTGGGAGTTCTTCTACTCCCCAAGCCCGGCCCGAGGCCAGGCTTGACTCGTGAGAGTTTGGTCCACCAGGCTGTTGCTTGCAGCGGCCCGCAGGCCCACATACCCACCACAGCCCGGTTGGCCCGACTTTTTTTTTTTTAGAAAACAATCTAATTTTCTCTTAAAGGTGTCCCCGGTTGTTCCGGCAATATTTCTTATAGTCGCTGGGAGGACGTTGAACAATTGCTGACCTAGCCAGGAGTTAGTCAATTCAAAAGTACATCCTGGTGTGGGAAGGGCCGGTCAGTAATTCGACTTCGGGGAGGAACCTCGATACATAACATGTACTGTATGTATAAACTGGCTGTCTGTTCCCCGAGACAATGCATTATCGATTATTATTAAATAACTGCCAGTAGTGGTCGTGGAGAGTGCCAGGATAGTAGCGGGCCGCGGGGGACCCCACTTGTTACATTCCTCCACCTCCAAACTGCCTCCCTCACTCTGACTCTTCTTTTATCTTCAGGTGTTGGTACCCTGATGTTGTCTGGCTCAGGGTCACGTGATGGTTCCATTATCTTTATTTGCTCAGACCCAGGTACTCACCTAGTTGTGCTAGCGGGGGTTGAGCTTTGGCTCTTTAGTCCCGCCTCTCAACTGTCAATCAACTGGTGTACAGATTCCTGAGCCTACTGGGCTCTATCATATCTACATTTGAAACTGTGTATGGAGTCAGCCTCCACCACATCACTTCCTAATGCATTCCAGTTGCTAACTACTCTGACACTGAAAAGTTCTTTCTAATGTCTCTGTGGCTCATTTGGGCACTCAGCTTCCACCTGTGTCCCCTTGTGCGTGTAACGTACGTTTATATTACGTTGTTGGGTAGATAAGATACCCAATATTTAGTGGGTTTTTATATTTATATAGTAGTCTTGGATACATCAGTGTCGTAGACGTTGAGACGGAGCTTGGAGCAGAGCAGAGAGCTCCGTAGGTAGGTCCTCTGAGTGTGGCTAGAGTCGCAGAGCTCTATGTGGGAGAGCGTGGCGGCTCGATTGAGGAATCGTGTCTAAATTTGATGGGGTTTGAGAGAGCGTTGTAGCTGGATGTGGTCGTAGTCTGCTGTCTGCTCTGAGTCGAAGCTGTAGCGTCTTGGGTCGATTAGAACTGTACACGCCGACGAGTGCTACATTCTTGAGGTTGAAAAGGTGAAGTAAATCCAAAGTGTCTGTACTGGAGTTATCCGAATCCCTGTGGAAATTGTACTGTCAGCTATTCGGTTGATTGATAAAGATTAAGCCACCTAAGAGGTGGCACGGGCATGAATAGCCCGTAAGTGGTACAAATTTTTGTTCAGTAAATCTTTTCAGTGTTCTGAGGTTGCATTTAATCGTCAGGCTGCTATCGCGGGGGAGGATACTGCTTGACAGTCTTTATGAGGGTCTCCAGCTGCTGGACACCTTTTTTGGTCAGCAGAGTGGCTGTGTTAATGGCTTCAGGGGGGTTACTGCAAAATTCAGGGACTCTTAAAGCTCTTCTAAGGTCGTTGGTTGCTTCACATTCCAGGAGATAGTGAAGATAGTGGTGACTCGCCTGGCGTTCCGCGAGCTAATGGCTGGCCGGGGAGGATTTCTGTGACAGTTTGGCAGTAAAAAAAAAAGATGCACTTTCTCTCTGTCGCTACGCGTACTAGTGGCTGGTGTCACCTTGTATAATCAAAAAAAAAAAAAAAAAAAAAAAAAAAAAAAAGTAATCCCAGTTTGGCAGAAGATGCATCTGTGTAACCTGCAGACGTAGTCTATATAACCTAACTGCTATTTCCCTGTGGATTCCTTTTGGGATATTTAACCTTTCTAATTTGGTTGCCTGAAGATACCATATTGCAGATGGCGAACCTTCAGCTACTCTCTGGTGTAGATAGGCTTTGTTGAGGTGTGAGAGTGTCGGCAATTCACTTCAAGCTTGCTTATATTCGGTGACTACACCTCAGCTTCCCCCAACCAGGATGGAAAGAATGTTACCTGTAAATAAGGATAGGATTATAGCTTGAGTAATTAGTGCTAATTAGTTACGCCATTAAGCTAATGGGAGACTGTAGTGAATATATTGTTTGTACTCGCTACATGCGTGTACCACCCGTGTTAAATAATCCATCCTCGTCTACCCCTGTCAATTTCCTTGAGAATTTTGTATGTGGTGATCATGTCTTCCCGAGCTCTTCGGTCTTCCAGCGACGTGAGGTGTAGTTCCCTCAGCCTTTCCTCGTAACTCACTCTGTGACTTGCCATGTGGCATACATCTGAACTTTTTTCCAGCTTCGTTTTGTGCTTGACAAAGTACAGGCTCCATGCTGGGGCCACATACTCCAGGATTGGTCTTACATATGTGATATACAAGGTTCTGAAAGATTCATTACACAGGTTCCTGAAGGCAGTTTTGATGTTAGCAAGCCTTGCATACGCCGCCGATGTTATTCTTTTGATGTGGGCTTCAGGAGACAAGTTTGGTGTGATATCAACTCCTAGATCTTTCTCTCTGTCCGTGTTGGAACACTGATGTTTACTGACTCAGGGCCAGGTGTTGGAACACTGATGTTCCAACACCTGAAACATCTGGCTCTGGATCAGGTGCTGGAACCCTGATCTTTACTGTCTCATGGCCAAATGATAGAATCTGATATTTGCTGGCTTAGGGCCAGGTGCTGGAACCCTGATGTTTACGGCCACATGACCAAATGATAGAACCTGATATTTACTGGCTTAGGGCCAGGTGCTGGAACCCTGATGTTTACGGCCTCATGACCAAATGATAGAACCTGATATTTGCTGGCTCAGGGCCAGGTGCTGGAACCCTGATGTTTACGGCCTCATGACCTAATGATAGAACCTGATATTTGCTGGCTTAGGGCCAGGCGCTGGAACCCTGATGTTTACGGCCTCATGGCCAAATGATAGAACCTGATATTTGTTGGGTCAGGGCCAAGTGATGGATCCCAAGGTTTACTGCCTCATGGCCAAATGATAGAATCTGATATTTGCTGGCTCAGGGCCAGGTAATGGATCATGCTGTTTATTGGGTCAGGGCCAAGTGCGGGAACCCTGATGATTACTGGCGTTTTAAATGAGTATGTGGTCACCCATTCATTTACTGATCACACACAAAGGTGTTTAACCTGACTGATCGAACGGCACACATATAAGCTCTTGCCTTTAAATGAACACAATAATGGAGTTTTACTTTAAATGTACAATTAGAGTAAAATGAGATAAGCAAACAAATCGATTAATAAATTAAGCCTGACCAAGTGACGGCAAAGTGTTAACTGTGTCGGTCACCGGGCGGGCCACTGTTTTGATTGGTCTATATTTCCACGACGAATCTTAACCCTCGTAAAATTAACCTCTATCCTATTTTTAAAGAAAGCCAAACAAATACATACATATTTTAAACAGTAAGAAATAAATTAATACTATATATTTCTGCTTGGAGTATATAGGAAAACACAATTGCGACTAGAAAGCCTGTCTATTTCCAGACAACTCATTATTGGAACGCCCAGGGTTTCTGTAAGGGAACAGCTGATTCAAAAGGCTGCGGGCAGCCGCTCCGGGAGTGTCTCTCCACCTTCTCACTCTCATACATTATTTATGCGCGCGTTGTAGCTCCTGGTGGTGTTGTCATCTTGGATCTGTGAGGGTAATGCCGGTTGCGACACGGGTTCTCCGTCTGTGTAGCTAATTAGTTGTGTGTGTGTTGTTTTTGCGTGGCTTGTTGTTTCCTAGAGTCAAATTCTACCAGAAGAAATAGATTGGTATGTCTAATTAGTTTTGAATTAGAACGAGGCACCCCGATCACGTCACGGTAATGTCACACCTCCACAGAGTATATGGGAAAAACGAAATTGGTTTTGGTTAATGTTAGTTAAATTAGGATGGAATGTTTTGTTGTCTTAGAATCTGCCATTCTGAACAAATGTTCCAAGTAACACGGGCTATTTTGAGCCCGTGCTCAAAATAGCCCGTGCTCTATTCTAACCCGACCACCTGTACAGTGGACAAGTTAGAATAAAAACTCACACTTGTATATTTGAAGTTTATGTAAGGAATTTACACCAAATCTTTCGCACTCTCCTGAGGGCTTTGTCAAGGTCTGAGTGGGGAGTGGGTGATGAGGACGAGACTTACATCTCAATGTCTAATCATAGGTTAGATTAGGATAGAATAATTAATTGTTTTGGGGAGAGGCAGCAAGTGAAAATACTGTAATGTTAGGCTATATCGAGGTCTCCTCCCCCCCCCCCCAAAGTTGAACTTCTGACTCGGCCCAGGAGGCCACCCCAAGACCAGCTGACTAGGTTGAGTAAATAGGTCCTGTGTACCTACTTGCTGCTTGGTGAACAGGGCTTTAGGTGATAGGAAATGTGTCTTAACCATTTCTGTCCTGCCCAGGACAAAAATGGTTAGTAGTTGGGTTCATTCAAACCTGGATTGAATGAACCCAACTATGACCGGGATGCTTGGTTAATTTTCGCAACATATTATATTCAATAAAGATATGGCTTATTGCCTCAAGATTTTAATGAGTAGGAAAATTTGCTATTAAAATAAATATACCAATTGTGTGAAATGTTTATTACTAGTGTAATAGCTTCCTAATGTCTTGGACTGGATGTCTATTACGTTTATTCTAGGCCAACTACTGATCTTCCCTAATATGCAACCCACAGTAGTTGCCTAACTAAGGTACTGTAATTATTTACTGGTAGGGGAACAGGAATCAGGGGTAAAGAATCATGTCATGCTGTCTTGCTCTGCCCAGGAATCGAACACAGTACCTTTCGGCTACGAATTGACTATGCTGAAAATTGTGCTATAAGAAAATCCACTAGGACTGTAGGTGGGCGCAAACTTATGTCCGTGGCATTGCCAGTCATGTACGATCATGACTACCACTTGACCACATCTGACCTGTAAAAGTCATACAACCGGATTCCTACTGAAATCACAGAAGTCTGGAGGTCCATACTGCAGTCAGTCAAGTGTTTGCATATGACCCACAAGCACTTGGGTGGAAGGGCAGAGTGGTCCCACACCGAACGCCCCAACTTAGAAACACACAGAAATCATTAACGTGATATATATCACATTTTCTCATTGATATATATCGTGTTAATATCACATTAATGTGATATAATCAATTTTTCTCAGTGATATATATCATGTCAATGTGATTTCTGTGAATTGTGCTATAATCATCACTCGAGTTGTGTATCATAGAGTATCTGCCACCATGAGAGATACCAGTTAATATGGAAATGTGACTATGGACAAAGAACAACTAGAAAATAGCGAGAAGGAAAGATGACTGAATAATGTATATTACACTGGCATTGTGAAGGGCTTTTGCCTTATTTTCTAAGGATGTGTTGCTAGTATAGTGATGATATTGAATGTACTGTATATGGCTGATGTAAAATTATGCAATAAATACAGTACATTCTGAAAGTAAAATTTGTGAATAGTATGTTTATATTTTACAGTGCTGCATGTGTACACTTCGTAGAATGTCCTGATTGTGGGTAATGAGACAGCTTGCCTACTCAATGCCCCTTTGGGTTGCTTGTCCTTTAATAAAATCCTTGAAACCAATGCTTTTGACATTACTGTACTTATATCTATATGCTCTTTGTTTTAGCATCATGAATGATATCTACGACTGACAGTTCTGTGCCACAGATGGTACTAAATAGTCTGCCAGGTTTAGTGCCTTCCTTTAATAATTGCTTGCTTGTATGTAATTTCCGTTGTTAGGGAGAGGACGTCTTTAGGCTTGTGTTGAAGTCCCCCCCCCCTCCTCCCCCCAAGATCAAACTACTGATCCTCTCCAGGATGCAACCCCACAACAGTTGCCTAACTCTTGGATACCCATTTACTGCTAGATGAACGGAGGCATCAGATGAAAGGAAACATTATTATATATAGTACTGTAAATAAGTACAGTACTGTATTTATATTTTTTACTATTCAGTGTAATTTGTTGAACTTGATCATTAGTAATGGATGTGGCAAGAAAATGAACACACACTCGGTTGATAAGTCTTTCAGAGTTTAAATGATCTTGACAATTGTTCTTGTGCAGCCAAGTACAATGTATACCTGCTTACATGGACAGATTTCACCCTGCACTCTTCCACATCCTAACTGTACCACAGTATCCACTGTTTGCAATGTTAGAGTATTTTTATCTCATGATTTTATAAATGTAAACAATGTAATCACCTGTTTTCAAACATTTTCATTAAAAAACTTGCTGTTGCACAGTTTAATATTTTTTTGTTAAATATTTGGCACAAAAATAAAGTCCAGCGAATACATGGCCTTACTCCACTTGCTTTTTCATTATTTCACCTATTAGTCTTCCAGGCTTGGCGCCTTACTTTGATACTGTACATGACCTGTCAACTAGCCTGACGACGACAATCTTAAAATGGCATGGTATCCCTCTGTTGCATCCGTTGCATCCTTTTGTCTGGTCGACAGTGTTCCATTAATCTGGAGTCCTCTGTAGAGTACAGTGGACTCCACAGTCTAGAGTACAGTCCAGTATTTCTTTTTAGACCTAATTCAGATGCTGTGTGTAAATATGGCCAAATTTTAAATTTGGATTTTTTGTTATTTGCCAAATATTTAAAATAATCTAATATCAATTGGTAGAACATATCTTGGCATATATATAATTTTTAAAACAAATTTGATACTGTATAAACAATGGCTTGCTTATATCATAAATATTATTAATCCTGTACATTTTCCTTAAAGAGTTTAATCATAAAGCCAATACTGAAGTGCTAGTAAATTGCTTGATCAAACTTATGAAGATTTAAACCCCTAAGAATTTGTCTCAATCTTTGTCACTAGAACTGTCTTCCTGGCACATACTGTGTTTGTCTTCTTCCCTGAAAGGTTTTACGCACCATTAGCTGGATTGCCTTTGTCTTCACTCCCCAGTCATCATCACTTATCTGATATGTATAACATTTCTGTCCACGTTACTACAGGCGTATACCTCTTCCTCCTACCTAATCAAGTCGGTCTATTACTGCTAGCAGACATCTTTTTTACTCAAATATATAAGTAGTAGAATTCATTAACATCTATGAACATTAACACCCAACCTCGATACACTTTGAGGAATCGATCGATCGATTGAAGAAATATAAGAAAATTCACTTGCACAAACAGAATGGTAGACAGTTGGAACAAGTTTGGTGAGGTGATGGTGGAGGTCAAAACCGTCAGTAATTTTAAAGCATTATATGACAGAGTGCTGGGAAAATGGGACACCACAAGCATAGCTCTCATCCTGTAACTACACTTAGGTAATTACTTACTATTTTCAGCTCTTCATCCATGTAATCTTTTCTTCTGTTGTTCCTATCTGGTCTATCCAGACTACTCTTGCCGGCAGAGATTGTTTCTACTCACAAATTGATATAAAAAAAATATATCTTTTAAATCCTTGAGTAAATGCTGCCAGCCCATAAGAAAATGATAGCATGGTGAGGATGTGTCTAGTGTAATAGCAGTGTGCCACCCAAGGACGATGTGCCCAAAAGTCTCGTTCTGCTTCGAAAGTGAACGTGTAGGGGAAACTTTAAACAATTGTTTGAAAATAACCTGAAAATGAATGCGAAACAACAAAATATAAATAACTATTCGAAACTGATTAAAATTTGACAGTAACAAGCACAATGCCACTTGAGTATGTAATTTTCAGCATTCAGTACTAATTTGTCTTTAACAGGTGATACTTTGCTGAAAAAGTGCTTCAACAAAACCATTATGGATTTTGGAAATTACTGTAACCAAAGTTATGACTACAGTTAAACAGCCGCTTGAAACAACTCCTAGTATGCAAATTGTAAAGCAAGAAAAGTAACAAACTTGTCAGAATTTTGATTAATAGCAAATTAGGCTTTTAAGAAATTTAGTAATGAGACTTGGATAAGTAAAAGATAGAAGTCTATACTGTATTGTATTGTTAAAATGTTAGTCAGAAAAGGTGGGCATAAAATTTGTCATGTATACAGTACTGCCAACAGTTTCAAAATCACCCTAATAGTTAATCACTTTGTCGGGGACATGAAGGCTTATTGAAGTTTCAATAAGGCTTATTGAAGTTTCCCGTAGGTCAATTGTCAACATTCCCCAAGATGGAACCCTTAACAGTTGCTTACCTCCCAAATACCTATTGTATTTTTCTGCTAAGTAACCAGATGCATCAGGTGAAAGGAAATATGGCCAACCACTCCAGTTGTGCCTGGGGATTGAACTGGCTCAGGATTGAAATGTTAAACATATGTCCTTTCATATGTCAAAGACAACAGACTATTATCAATATTAATGCATTTTAATGCAAGATATAATTTGATATGATATACTGTATTAGTAATGACCAGGAAAGAGGCCTTCCATAGCTTGATGTTGTAGACTAACAGATGTTGTCACAGTTCAAATATGACTATCACTGTAGATGATCAAATATCACATCAATGGCATCATGGCTTCAGAATTTTTGTTATTGTATGTGTGTTGTTACAAATTTAATGTTATGAATCGGTACAATTTGTGCTGCATTTTTTTATAAGTTCAGTAACTGATTTTATAAATGGTAGTTATCATTAATGATATGCTTCTTGAATGAATTTTACGAATAATGAATTTTTTAAGGCTTATCTCTGTAAGCTGTTATGTAAGTTAATATTCATGTCTATTAAATAATAATTCTTTACAGTCCTGGAAAAATGTTGCTTATAATATTCCTGTATTTTATTGCCAAATACAGTACTAAATTTTGTTCAGTCTCAAAAAGGTGTACAGTAATATTTAAAACCTATTTTAGTTTCAGACACTATGAAGAAAACGTTGTCTCCAATACCAGATGAAGGTAATGGTGCCAGTGGTGGTAGCGGGAGTGTGGAGGGATCCGTGTCTATAATGAAATTGAAAGAAAACCTGAGTAACCTCGTCGAGCTTCAGAAGGAACATAAAGAGGTTTGTTAGGTTGTGGCCTCACTGGCCGACTCATCCTCCGTGTTTGATAGTACAGTAGAGTGTATATAGATAGCAGCAGTGGATGAAATGCATAAATTATGGACCCCCCCCCCAAAAAAAAAATACATTTGGTACTGTTGGTATAACAAAACCTACAAAATCTAGTCTTCAACCTAACCTAATATATTTTAGACCTACTTTAGTACATATATGTAGTACTATACTAAAGCTAGAGAGGTTAAATTTGGAGGTTGCCTTCATTCTCAGGGCTTCTACAAAATCAATAGTGGACTTTCTGGAATAAAATTGTCCATATTTTATGCCTTCTATCTACAATTGCTATTTACTGTATGTACTAGAATTTTTTGGGAATAAGTTGCCTCTTGCTGCAGTTATGTATACAGTGCATAACAAAGAGGATTGTTATGCACTGTATAACAAGTGCATAACCGGGGCCGGGGAGGATTTACCTGGCACCAATTCTTAACTATAGCCTCTGTTTACCCAACAGTAAAATGGGTACCTGGTTGTTAAACAATTTGGCGTTGTATTCCGGGGAACATAGGATTAAGAACTTGCCTCAAAATGCTGTGTGTGCTAGTGGCTGTACAAGAATGTAAGAGCTTTTTTTTTTTTTTGTGTGTGTGTGTAATTACCTAAGTGTAGTTACAGGATGAGAGCTACGCTCGTGGTGTCCCGTCTTCCCAGCACTTTTTGTCATATAACACTTTGAAATTACTGACGGTCTTGGCCTCCACCACCTTCTCACCTAACTTGTTCCAATCGTCTACCACTCTGTTTGCGAAAGTGAATTTTCTTATATTTCTTCGGCATCTGTGTTTAGCTAGTTTAAATCTCTTAAAGTTCCAGGTCACAGGAAATCTTCCCTATCGATTTTATCAATTCTTGTTACTATTTTGTATGTAGTGATTATATCACCTCTTTTTCTTCTGTCTTCTAGTTTTGGCATATTTAATGCCTCTAACCTCTCCTCATAGCTCTTGCCCTTCAGTTCTGGGAGCCACTTAGTAGCATGTCTTTGCACCTTTTTCAGTTTGTTGATGTGCTTCTTAAGATATGGGCACCACACAACCGCTGCATATTCTAAATCGAGGTGTATTCTAAATCGTCGTGTGTGTGTTTGTGTGCGCGCGTGTGTGTGTGTGTTTTTTAAATTCTTAATGTAGATATGTAGAAAATATCAGGAATAGAGATACATGTATACAGCATATGAAGCAGCATGGGAAAGGATGGGGGAAATCAGGGGACTTTTAGAGTAGTATCAAGTGTACAATGACCCTGGATAGGAGAACAAGAATTAATTTGAGTTTTAATGTATACATATTGGGAGCTGAGGTATCCCATGACTTCATAAATATTGTAGCTGTAATCCAATATTGCTTCATGATTTTTATTGTTACCATTTTTTACCTTCAGAGGCTAGGAAGAGTTGAAGAAGAAATAGCAAAGCTGCAAACATTCAAGAAAGATTATGAGCATCTATTAAAAAGGCTTCTAAGTCTTCCAGATAAAACTGCACATGAGGTGGGTACTGAGGATTGGTTATTATCAAGTGGATCATTTGGAACAAATAATACCTCTAGACAAGATTTATCACCCCTATATACTATTACTGTACTATTATTATTTCTGAGAGGGGCCCTTTGGTGTCTCTCTGGGCTAACATAAAGGGGCCACCAAAGGGAACCATCAGAAAGAGGCATTTCATTACATTAAACAATGAAATTTTTTAAACCAACAGTGCTCTCTTCTGTGATAATATACCTGGGAATACCTGGAGTGGGTTGTGGGAGTTCTATTACTCCCCAAGCCCAACCTGGAACCTGGTTTGATTAGTGATAACTTGGTTAACAGGTTCTTGCTTGGAGTGGCCTACAGGACCACTGCAACCTTAGTTGATATTTCACTTCTTGCAGGAATGTGTCATTTTTCTTTGAGTAGTTGTGGACCTCTCATGATCATACTTCCTCTGATTGGGCTTATGATGCCTCTATTTTTCACTGAGTTTAGTCTGCATTTCATACCATATCATTTGGTTCAGTTTGTTATTTTAATGTGGAAATTTTGGACCTCAACTTCCCAGTATTTTCTGTGTGTATTTTATATACCTCTCTTGTCTCCCCTTCTAGAGTGTACATTTTGAGAGCCTTGAGATAGTCCCAATAATTTAGGTGTGTTATGTCTGTGTGCTGTATACATTCTCTGTGTTCCTTCTATTTCAGAAATATCAGATTTGCTGTACAATAATTGTAACACAGTAGAAAGCTAATTCGGGATGAAATTGGTCCTTTAAGTTGTGTGTCTTCCTTCAATGCACCCGCCTAAAAGGCAAGCCTTAATGTGAATTGTTCACTTAAGTGTGAATTTAGAATGGATTGGACTGGCTCATCTTATTTAGTGTAGTTTTCTATTGATTTGACAGCAGTTGGCCTGTTATTTTATTCCTGTGATATTCTTCCTCAAATATTATATCTCCATGCTCATATCATACTTTAAATTTGCACTCTTTCATTACACTTTGAGTCTACAGCTACAGTTCCCATGGACAGAAACAGGAAGTCTATACAGTAGAACTTCGATCCGGCTACTTTTCAATTCGAACGCACACTTTCCATGCCGGATTTACTCGCCTAATTTGAAGAGCGAGTTCGCCGAAGCATTAGATATGCGGCTTTGCTTAGGATGTTGGGACAGAGCTCACAGACTAGTGGAAATGTTGCCCATCATATCATAGGTTAAAATTAAACTTCCCATAGTGAAATCAGCCATAGAGCATGGAAAATATGAGGGTATGAATGGTAACACACTTAATAAGGCTTCAATCACCTTCCTAATGATTCCCATAGATGGACATAAGACTATAAGAAAGAGTTGGGGGCCTTGGGAAAGTCATTGAGTACAGTATATTTAATTTTATGGTTTGTTTTCATTTTGAGATTTCCTAGTTTGACTAATTTATGAGTACCTACTCACTGCTAGGTGAACAGAGCCATTAGGTGAAAGGAAATGTGCCCAATCATTTCTGACTCGCCCGGGATTCGAACCCAGAATTCTCGATTGTGCATTGAGAATGAACCCGACTGTACTACCAGGACCAGGAAATATGTTAGCTGTGGTTAAATCTCTTTACAGACAGGTTCTTTTGGTAGGTATCTTCATATGATAGGTGGGAAGTTAACATTTTGCTCAGTGAAATCAGCCCATGGAGCACGGGAAATATTAAGGTATGAATAGTAACTCTTTTTAAACTCGTGTACTGTACAGTGGACCCTTGGTTTACGAATTTAATTAGTTCCAAGAGACTAAAATTCGTAAACCGAAATTAATTTTCCCACAAGAAATAATGTAAATTGAATTAATCCATTCCACACACCCAAAAAATGCCAACATAAAAATACATTTTATACAGAATACTACTAATATTTTTAACTACAGGTACCTTATCTTTATTGAGGGACTCCTGTTGGTGTATGGAAGATGGTGAGGAGGGGGGGGTAGGAGTCCCCCTTCCATTATAACATCAGGCAGTGATGACATTTCTGGGGTACTCTCTCTCCTACATTTTGCAGCCATACCACTAGGATCTGGTTGTGTCTCACTGTTTGCTTGTCTTACAAATTTTTTTCTAAAGGATGCTCTGAAACCAAAAAAGCAGAAAACAGTGAAATTCTTCACAAAAAATTGAAGTGCAGTCGTCACTAGGCGGGATACACTGGTAACCTGAGCGTGCCTCGCCCTGCACCCAGCAGAACCCAAACTCTCACGCTCGTCGACCCATACATGTATCGACATACATGTATCGACAAACTCATAATCCGAGGTAAACTTCGTACACCGAGTCAAATTTTAAGAGGAAATTGACCTTGTATACTGAAAAATTCATGAAGAGGGGCATTTGTAAACTGAGGCTCTGCTGTACTGCACAAAGAGCTTTAAGGCACATGACGGGTGGTGCATAGGATGCCATATGGCATTTTAGGCACAGTATTCATACACATTGTACCTGGGATTCAACTACCCCAGGTACACGGGGCTCACATCCTGTGCCTCAGGACTCAAGGAATCAGACACCATCTTTAAAAGAAAATCATCTGCATACCTCCTGGTTGTGAGAGCCTTGGTACGGCTAGTGACCAAGGCTGGCACAGGCAGCAGGAGCTCGCAGAACAGCTGTGTAGTTCGGGGGCCACATCACCACTTAATACTGATGAATAAAATAAGTATTGTAACTGCATTTATTTTGTGATGATAGCTTCATAGATGATCCTGGCTGCAATAATAACTATGTACAGGGTTTAGATATCAGTAAGTACAATGCTAGTTATGATGTTTTCAACAGGAGGCCAACATTCATAGCAAACATCTGAAGTTTCATGCATTTACACATCGTGCCACATAACTTCGTGTTCCTTCAGAAAATATTCTTGTAGAAAATTATTCATGTTCATGATTTAGTGACAGGAATGTGGTAATAATAGCAGTGTTGGGTAGTCTACTGAAGGCATGTTGCAGCTGGTGACGTTGTCTGCTGGCTTCGACTGGTCATTGCATGTGGCTCTATACTGTTGTACAGTCTTATTCCAGCTGCTGTGACAGACGGACATGTGTCAGGAGCGCTCCTTGAGGTTGTAAACTTGAGCTAACCTCTATAGCGAACCAGTACTCTTGCTTATCAAAGAAATGGAGTGAACTTCTGCTCTGTCTACAGAGTCTGAGAGTGAGGATGACATACATGTCTCCAGGCCATTTCAGGTAGTAATAACCAGGGAAAAAGTGGAAGACTATGAACACACGGGGTAAGAAACGGCAAGAAACAACCAAAAAATTACATTGATAGATGCCAGACAGGACCAAGGTTTTTAATTACCCGCCAGTCTCAAAACAAAAATCTCACCAGTCAGACACAGCAGGACTGCACACAGCAAGATGGACAGATTAATGGATGGCTCTTATTTCCCTCAACATGTCAACTAACTTTTCATCAGAAACTGGGGCCAGATTCACGAAGCAGTTACGCAAGTACTTACGAACGTGTACATCTTTCCTCAATCTTTGACGCCTTTGGTTACATATATTAAACAATTTACAAGAATGAAAATTTCCCAATCAATTGTTGTTATTGTTATAAGCAGCCTCCTGGTGCTTCGGAGCTTATTAACTGTTTAACAAATGTAACCAAAGCCGTCAAAGATTGAGGAAAGATTGTACATGTTCGTAAGTACTTGTGTAACTGCTTCGTGAATCTGGCCCCTGGAGTGGACCGTTCAGTTGACCAAGAAATTTGGTGAATATGAACTATTATTTAAGGAGGGTGTTCACTGGACCTACATAATGCTTGAGACAGAAGAGGCAGTGGAACATCTAACAACTGACAGATTTAAGAATATTGTTTTGGTTACTCCTGAAGTGGGAATAATTTGCACTAAAGTTATTGTTTTTAAGTATCCGATATACTTGGATCCTGAATTTTTTCATCTCGACAATGAATGTGTTGTGTGGGCCAAGAGGAACATTATACGTGGTGATAAACAAAGTCAGATTGTTGCCTTGTTAAAGGGTGAGGCTCCAGAAAGACTTTGTGCAAGGACTTGGATACGGGAAAGTGGCAAAATATATTGAGAAGCCTACATTATGCATGAAGTGTTATCATTGGGGACATATGGTCTGGAAATGCCAGTTTGACCCCAGATGTCGGTACTATACAGTATTGTGGTAAGAAGCATGACTCGTGACAGTGTAGAGTCAGGATTGACAAAGGAAATTTTTTTTGCCATCTTGCTGCAATTGGAAGTAACAGACATCAAGTGAAAGGAAATGTGTCCAACTGTATCTGTCCTGTCTAGGGATTGAACCTGGGTCTCTTGATTTTAAACCAAGGACGTAGACCATTGTATTATATGACCCGTAAAATCATTAACAGTGTAACCTCGGTTGACGAATGCCTTTCTTCACGAATTTTTCGGTTACGAGCTCAATTTCTTCGTAAAATTTGACTGTCTAGGAGCTTTCTTGCTTGGCGAGTTTGTTGATACACCCATGGGTTGACCGAGTGCGTCGCTCCTGGTGGTACGGGTGAATGCTCCGTACCAGTGTACGGAGCTTCAGTTTACCAGTGTCTCCCGCCTAGTGACGATTGCGCTTGATTTCTTTGTGAAGAATTTAATTGTTTTTGTGAATTTTTGGTTTCTGAACAAAATGTCATGGGTCCCAAGGAAGTCAGTGGTAAAGTTCAACCTAAGAAAATAGTTGTGAGAATGATGATAGAGGAAAAACAAGAGATCATTCATAGTGAATAAATGTGGTGCCTCACTTCAGACAAGTGTTAAAATATAGGGAAAAACCAGTGTCTTTAGACAGATTCTTAGTAATACAAACAAGCAGTGAGCCAAACCAGGTCCTAGTGGTATGCCTGCAAAACATAGGAGAGAGAGTACCCCAGAAATGTCATCCGTGCCTGATGTTATAATAAAAGGGGACTCTCCTGCTAAACATGAACACCTCTCCTCTTACCCCGCCTTCTTACCGTCTTCCATACACCAACAAGTTTCCTCATTAAAGATAAGATATACTTGTACATACTGTAGTACAAAATACTAGTAGGAGTATGTATAAAATGTATTTTTAAGTTAATATTTTTGTGGGTGTGGACCGGATTAATTAAATTTACATTATTTCTTATGGGAAAATTCGTTTCGGTTTATGAACCGTTACTGGGAATGGATTAAATTTGTAAACAAAGGTACCACTATACAGTACTGTATTTCCAAGATGTAAGTTACATGTATTCCTCCTTATTTTTGGTGACTTTTTCCTAGATGTCTTTACCTAGACATCCTTTACCTTTTTGGAGCCGGTCGGCCGAGCGGACAGCACGCTGGACTTGTGGTCCTGGGTTCGATCCCAGGCGCCGGCAAGAAACAATGGGCAGAGTTTCATTCACCCTATGCCCCTGTTACGTAGCAGTAAAATAGGTACCTGGGTGTTAGTCAGCTGTCACGGGCTGCTTCCTAGAGGTGGAGGCCTGGTCGAGGACCGGGCCGCGGGGACACTAAAAAAAAAGCCCCGAAATCATCTCAAGATAACCAAGATAACCTAAAATTATCTTCCTGGCTCTTCCGTGTTATACATTCAAAATAAAAAGCCTCAATCATGGTAGATCTTACATGCCATTTTTCAGAGTCTTTAAAATGATGTGAATATACCAGTGTTATTTAATGTAGCAAGCTCCTCATGCTTTATTGATGGTGGTACTTTACTCACATTGTTTGTTGGTTTGATATTGTAGTATTGTTCAATACTGTTCTCTCTTTAGTTAATGGGCTTTCTGAAAAATATGGTAATCTAGTAGTCTTGATCACTTGTTAATACTGTATGTGAATGAAGTATGTACTGTATTTCCCGACATATAAGACTCGCCTTCGCTTAAAATGCACTTCTAGTACTTTGTGGGGGGGGGGGGAGAGTTTTAGTATACTGTACTTCATGAAATACAGTAAGTATTAAAAGTGGTTTTATAGTGCAGCTGCCTTATTACAATGTTTGTTTGCATTAACTAAGGTTATCTTGAGATGATTTCGGGGCTTTAGTGTCCCCGCGGCCCGGTCCTCGACCAGGCCTCCACCCCCAGGAAGCAGCCCGTGACAGCTGACTTAACTCCCAGGTACCTATTTACTGCTAGGTAACAGGGGCATTCAGGGTGAAAGAAACTTTGCCCATTTGTTTCAGCCTCGTGCGGGAATCGAACCCGCGCCACAGAATTACGAGTCCTGTGCGCTATCCACCAGGCTACGAGGGCCCCACCAGGCTACGAGGGCCCCATTAGGCATTGAATTTTACTCCGGAACTATGCAGCTATTAAAAAGGACTACATAGAGCTGTACATGACTAAAAATTGTAACATATCAAATATGAAAAAATGAAAAACGGTGATTGGAATACACGAGGGAATTGCAAACAGTGATTGGAATAGTCAAAAATTGCAGATACAAATTGGAATACAGGTGGAAATCACAGATAGTGATTGGAACACAGGAGGAAATCTGCGATTTCCTCCTGCGTACCCCAGACACAGGATAATTATACAGAAAATGAATAATTATACAGTCCAGTATATGAATCATTTTAAAGTGTAAATGAAAATTCTATTGTATAACAATTCTACATGGTAGAATTTAGATTAATTAATTAATGGTAATTCTATACTGGTTATCAGTTCAGTGTATGAGTACATGTTAAAACAAAGCATCCTATTGGCCAGTGTTACGTGAGAAGGTACTGCAGCAGTACCCAGCAGGTGGCAAGCTTCACACTTAAACACTAAATAAAAAAAATGCATTGGATCTTGGCATTGTGAAAATATGGGCAAAGCATTAAAGTAAACTCAAACAAAAATATAACAAACTTACAGTACTTTAAAAAAGAAACAACAAATAAATAACTTCAAAGCTTGATTTATAAATCTTGGTTGTGTGATGAGATCTGGAATAGAACAATAACTATTCTGGCAGGTGTTGCACCAAATCACACATTAAAAAAAAAAAAAGAGAAAATAAATTAAAACAAAACGGCTGGGACCTTTTACGGTTGCGTATCAATTGCGGCCAAAAAACAAGAAAATAAAACATTTAAACATTTAATATAAAAAAAATGACTTTAATTTTACACAGAATGATAAGTAACAATTAATGAACAAAACCCCTTAACCCAGATTGATTGATTGATTGGCTTAAACACAATCAAAAGAGAAATATACACCTGTGAATTTTATGTTAATAACAAAAGTGAAGGTAATACTTTATACGAAATGCTACTGTGACCCGTTAGCGAGGATAAATGTGGAAGCAATGAGCACTAGAAGAGTAATCTACTGCTCTGGACGCTGGCAAGTCCTTTTATATGGGCTGTGACGTCATTTTGGTGCGAGTGCTGGAGTTGTAGACGAAGAACCAGCAATATAATGACCTTCGTGATAGTTTGTCTGGCATTGGGTGAACTGGCGAGACGGCAGGTGCACTCTCTCTCGTGGAAGGTAGGGTAGAGGGTGGGGGGAGAGGTGTGTGTATACAATACGTTTTGGCGCACATTGTTGTTGTTTCTTGATGTTGGAACATGCTGATATGTAGGTGGTAAGGAACAGGCAGAATCTCCTGCTATGCAGGAGATGGCCGTAACAATTGTTACACATGAAAAATAGCAATGATAAGAAAACATAAAAGTTAAATTTACATTAAACAAATTATATACAAACAAGTTAGGCCTTACGAATTATGTAGTAACCACCACAACCTGTGAATGAACTGCTCCCGCGGATCGTCGGCAGGGAGAAGTGTTAAACACCCCTGTTGAGATTACCTGGAGAGACTGGCTTAAGAGAGCTGGTCAGGTGATATTTATACCCCCCTCCTGGGGACATCACATTCTGTGTCAACTCTTGTTGTAAATTACTTGCCGTTGTGTCTGGAGTCTCGAAGTTGGTAATGGGGAAGGGGGGGGGGGGGTTGTCTGGCTGGTATGCAGGTGCAAACTTAGATACTACATTCTTGGCCTGTTGGTGGTGAGTTTTTCATCATGACGAAGATGACAATGATGAAGGTAAGAGGGAAGAGGCCATTTACCCTGCTTTACATGGTAATTGTGTGACACCGGACAATACTGTGATTTAAGCTAACACTGGTTATTATGATGATCACTCTTGATGCAGTTAACGGTACTGTATAACTGGATATTGCACACACCAAGATTTATTGCTTCTGCTGTGTAGGTTTTTAGTTTTTTAATGAAGATATGTAATTCTACAGTGTAACTGAGTAGTTCTTTATAGTAGATGAATAATTCTACAGGGTAGATTAATAGTTCTTTAGGGTAGATGAATACTTCTGCAGTGTATATGAATAATTATACAGTCCAGTATATGAATAATTTTAAAGTGTAAATGAAAATTCTAGTGTACATAATTAATTCTACATGGGAAACAATTCTATAGGGTAGATGAATAATTGTACAGGGTAGATAGAGAATTCTACAGTTGATGAATAATTATATGACAATAATTTTACAGGGTAGATGATTAATTCTACATAATAGACAATTGATTCTGCATGTTAGATAATCAATAGTACTGGTATATGGTAGATAATTATATAGGGTATATGATTCATTCTTCAAGGTATAGATGATGAATTCTATAAGGTAGATGAATAGTTCTATGGGTTTGGTGAATAATTCTACAGGGTACATCAATAATTTTTAAAGGATCACAATAATTGTACAGGGGTAGGTATATAATTATACAGGGTAGGTCTATAATTATATAGGGTAGATGAATATTTATATAGGGTAGATGAATAACTCGACTGGGTGTGGAATAATAAATCTATAGGGTAGATGAATACTTTTTGCATAGTAGATTATTACTTTACAGGATGAATAATTCTATAAGATGTGGTTAATTTTATATGGTAAAAAAATGACTACTTAGTAAGTGAAGTGATTCTACGTGGTAGATTAATAATTCTGCAGGTCAGATAGTGAGTGCGTATTCTGAAGTACAGTATTAAGAAATTAAATCCAAGCCTTATATGCTTAACATATTTCTTGGTTTCCCCCCCCAGGTGATGGTTCCCTTTGGCCCGTTGGCATTCATGCCAGGTCATTTGGTCCACACGAACGAGATTTTAGTGTTGTTAGGCGATAACTGGTTTGCCGAGCGAAGTGCGAAACAGGCAGCGGGCATTGTCCGCCGGAGATTAAAAGGTATGTTTTATTTGGTAATTATGGATTTTGCTTTTTTATTCGAGTTGGCCCTTTATAATATTGAAGGGTTTCACATGATTTCATGCATTGTGTACATTGTCAATCTGTCCATTACATGATGACGTTTTAGTCCATCCTGGATTCTTATCGGGCTGTCTTGATGTGTCTTAACTTGATAAGGGACCAGGATGCACACAAATGTCCGACCTTTTATCTCATAAGTGTGGGTTGAGTTATTTGGTTTGCCACGTTATTGTGTTGTCACTCTGGACACTGACCAGGTGTGGTCAACAGTCTGGTTTTGTCACTCTGGATATTGACCAGGTGTGGTCAACAGTCTGGTTTTGTCACTCTGGATATTGACCAGGTGTGGTCAACAGTCTGGTTTTATCACTGCACATGAACCAGCTGTGGAGAAGTTTTATCTTCTCTCTGTAGACCAGCATTTCTTAAGAGGTTCCCTGGAACCCTTGGTTGCCACCAAAATATTGTAAATGTTTATATTTTGTGTTTACAGACATGGTTGATTTTATCTGGTTAATAGATATATAGTGGCACCTCGACTTACAACTGCCTCCACTTACAAATTTTTTAAATACAACGTAAATTTTTGTTGGAAAATGAGACTCGACATGCGACCTTTGCCTCGACTATCGACTTTGTCGATACGCGTATGGGTCAACTGCGTGGTTAACTGGTGGCATGGTCGACCCAGCCTCAGTTTACCAGAGCTGCCCGCTTAGTGGCGATCGTGCTTGTAAAGAATTTTATTAATTTTTGTGCTTTTTTGTTTTTTGAAGATAAAAGTAATTAATACTGTATATATCACGCCATGGGTCCCAAGAAAGTCAGTGGTGAGGTTCAACCTAAGAAAACACATGTGTGGATGACCATAGAGGAAAAATGAAATCATTCGTAAATATGAAAATGGTATGAGGGTTGTAGATGTAGAGTAGAGGATGTCCCTTCCTCATTTATTAACACTATCGCGAACGCCATGGCTTTGACGTCATGGGGCTAATGGTGCGGGCGAGTGTGCGGTGACGCCTAAATGTGTATACTCGTTTCATTTTTCTCACCTTAATTCTCGTGCTATGTCGTTCGTTTTGGTATCAATGTGTTCGCAATTAAATTCCCTGCAGATGTATATGCATATAATGTCCAAAAGCCTGGCGAGACTCCCCACAGCAAAGCCTAAAGTCAGAAAAGTTACCTGTGAGCGCACAAAATCAGTAAAATGTGTATACTCGTTTCAGTTTTCTCACCTTAATTCTCGTGCTACGTCATTCGTTTTGGTATCATTGTGTTCACAATTAAATTCCTTGCAGATGTATATGCATATAATGTCCAAAAGTTGGGCGAGACTCCCACAGCAAGCCTAAAATTACCCATGAACGAACACCAATTTGCACACCACAACCTAATGTGTATACTCATTCAGTTTCATAACATCAATTTTCATGTTACATTGCTCATTTTGGTATCAAATTGTTTGCAATATAAAGACGCGCATTTTAAAACTAGTCTCATAATAATAGAGCAATAACTGGAATTTTAACAAATATTTTAATTTTGGATGCTCATCATCAAAATTATTTATATCTTTCCAGTGTTCTAACATCAGCTTTCATGTTACATCTCTCGTTTTAGTATCAAATTGTTCACAATATAAAGGTGCGCATTTTAAAACAAGTTCGATAATAATAGCACAATAAATAGAATTTTAACAAATATTTTGAAATTTACAATTTAGACCCAAAAGCGTATTTATAATCTTTCAAGTGTTCTGACATCAAGTTTTGTGTTACATCTTTCATTTTGGTATCAAATTGTGTGCATTTTAACCCTTTAACTGCGCAACGCGCCTGCAGGCCCAGGCCTAGGGTGCGCAATGCGCCTCCAGGTGTTTGTATTTTTCATTTCCAATTTAAAAGTGACGCGCGGTGACGTGGGTATGGAATGGGTAGCTGGGGGCCCCAGTGATCGTCCGCCATCTTGAAAAAAAATCCCAGCATGCCCCGCTGCTGTAGGGAGCCCCAGTTCCGAAGCAGTAACCATGTCTGACGCATTGTCAACGAGCTCCCGTTCCACGGCGACCCGCGGTCATGGAAAACGACTCTCTGAGGAGGAAATTCGCGATATATTGTACGACGACGGTGCTATGGATGATGACCTGGACTATGATCCTGAGAAAGATCTGACACAGAGGTCCGATACGAGTGAGGGGGAAACAGAAGTGGATGATATGGCAAGCGTGTATGGTACACGCTCCCCACCTGGCCTGTCTCGCTGCCCTGGGTCAACACCGTTATCATCACCACCATCATGTATGTCCCCAGGTGCTAGTTCATTATTTTGTGATAGTACATGTGACGAATCGTTCTCGGGGTTCAACGACATTGGCTCTGATACGAGAAGTGTGGACGACCCCAGTACTAGCAGTGAGGGTGGTACCAGGCGGGGTTTTGCTGCCTCAGCAACACGTGCAGGCAGGCGGCGGCGTGTCTCCCAGCATGACGACAGTGGGCCCTCAACATCGGGTGTTCGTGGTAGGCCTACGGTTCGGAAATCTGCCTCAGCGTCAAGCATACTCTCACGCAGCTCCAGGAGCAGCAGCAGACGACGTAGCCGTGGTTTTGGTGCCCTTGGTGGTGTTGGCCGTGGTGTTGGCGCCTACACCAAACCCCCTGGTGTACTTGTGTGGGAGGATTGTGCCACATTTGTGCCCCAAATACCAACGTTTGTTGATACCGAGGTTGGTGTTACAGCTTTATTCCCGTATACCGGTGATGATATGGCGGACATGGAATATTTCCAGGCATATTTCGACAATGTGTTCATGGACCATCTTGTGACCGAGACAAACTCATACGCCCACGCCCTCATAGACGGCGGCATATTACCTGCCTCATGCCTCACGCGATGGAAGGATACGGCAATGGACGAGATGTACGTGTTTCTTGCTATATGTATGATGATGAAACACTCCGAGAAAGCTGTCGTCCAGGACTATTGGAACAAAGACAGCCTTGTTCCATCGCCCATCTTCAACCGTTATATGTCGCGGGATAGGTTTCTGTTGATTCTGAGGTGCCTGCATTTCAAAAATAATGCAAACGAGGACAGGGAAGACAGACTTTGGAAGGTACACAAGGTATTCAGCGACCTGAGAGGGAAGTTCAGGGATTACTGTAACCCCGCGATTATCCGGGATTCGAACATCCGGAAAACGCCCTTATACGGCCAAAATCGTGAACGGATAAAGTTATCTCAATATCCGGCCAAAATGGCCATGGGAGCTGGATAAAAGCCGGTTTGGCCGGTTAAAAATCTGAGCCGGTGGGCTGTACCGTATTAATCCCGTACAGCTGTGGCTCAAGGCCATGGTGTTGGAGGGGGTAGGGTAGGTGGGTGGTGTCGGGAGAGAGGGGAATGTTGGGAGGGACCACCTGGGGGATTACGGTCAGGAAGAGAGGGAGGGAGTTGGTCAGGAAGGGAGGGAGGAAGGGAGTTGGTCAGGAAGGGAGGGAGAAAGGGAGGTTGGTCAGGAAGGGAGTTGGTTAGGAAGGGAGGAAGGGAGATGGTCAGGGAGGGAGTTGGTCAGGAAGGGAGGGAGGGAGTTGGTCAGGAAGGGAGGAAGGGAGTTGGTCAGGAAGGGAGGGAGGTAAGGGAGGGAGGGAGTTGGTCAGGAAGGGAGGGAGGGAGTTGGTCAGGAAGGGAGGGAGGTAAGGGAGGGAGGGAGTTGGTCAGGAAGGGAGGGAGGTAAGGGAGGGAGGGAGTTGGTCAGGAAGGGAGGGAGGTAAGGGAGGGAGGGAGTTGGTCAGGAAGGGAGGGAGGGAGTTGGTCAGGAAGGGAGGGAGGGAGTTGGTCAGGAAGGGAGGGAGGGAGTTGGTCAGGAAGGGAGGGAGGGAGTTGGTCAGGAAGGGAGGGAGGGAGTTGGTCAGGAAGGGAGGAAGGGAGTTGGTCAGGAAGGGAGGAAGGGAGTTGGTCAGGAAGGGAGGGAGGGAGTTGGTCAGGAAGGAAGGAAGGGAGTTGGTCAGGAAGGGAGGAAGGGAGTTGGTCAGGAAGGGAGGAAGGAAGTTGGTCACGGAAGGAGGAAAAACTATTGTGGTGTGTATGGGACTCGCTTAAGCCTAACAAAGGTGGCGTTAGCGGTGTTGCGAGAATTATATTGTTTTCTTATTGCTGTGGAGAGCTAGTTACGAATATTAATTAAATAACACTATAATTGATAAACAGTACAGTACAGTATTTGGTTTGCTATTTATTCATTTAAATATTTACAATAAAATAAAATGGGATTTAACAGAACTTACGGCGGCGCATCGTACAGTGTGTCAACACCCACGTGTCTGTCGACACATGTGGAGGGGAGATGGGAAGGCTGGCGTGAGGTGGGGGAGGGGGGGTTGACCAGGCAGGAGATCACACGTGTCGTCCAGTCTCGCCACTTACCCACCTGTTCACCCACTTCCCTGCCCACCCACCTGTTCACCCACTTCCCTGCCCACCCACCTGTTTACCCACCTGTTCACCCACTTCCCTGCCCACCCACCTGTTTACCCACCTGCCTGCATGCCCACTTACCCACCTTGTTCACCCACTTCCCTGCCCACCCACCTGCCTGCACACCCACTTACCCACCTGTTCACCCACTTCCCTGCCCACCCACCTGCCAATCCATCCACCCACCTGTTCACCCACTTCCCTGCCCACCCACCTCCAGGCCCACCCACCTGTTCACCCACTTCCCTGCCCACCCACCTGTTCACCCACTTCCCTGCCCACCCACCTGTTTACCTACCTGTTCACCCACTTCCCTGCCCACCCACCTGTTTACCCACCTGTTCACTCACTTCCCTGCCCACCCACCTGTTTACCCACTTCCCTGCCCACCCACCTGTTTACCCACCTGGCTGCACACCCATTTACCCACCTGTTCACCCACCCACCTATTTACCCACTTCCCTGCCCACCCACCTGTTTACCCACCTGCCTGC